CGGAATGTATTCACTAGTGTAACTTAAGGTGGACAGTAATTCCGAGAGAAGCCGATACGATTCACGCCAACACTAACCAAGAACAGACCACAATGCAATCATTTAAATGTCACTTTCATGCGCGATTTGGAAAAATAGAAACGAGTTCGATTAAATGTACTCAACGGTGAACAGGACGGCCTCAGTGCATTCACTAGCGTAAGACAAGGTCGACAGATATTCGGAAAGAAGTATATGGGATTCGCAAAGTCAAACCGGAACTGACCAATATTAGGCTACAATACGATACTTCAAATCTCCCATTCGAGTACAATTTTCCAGCATGTAAGCGAGTTCCGTTAAATCTACTCAACTGTGCTCATGTTCGTCAGGAAAATACTCGCTAGCCTTACTCAAGGTCAACGGTCATTCGCAAGGACGTCAATCCGATTTGCTCAGTCAAGCCAAAAGTGACCAGAATACGGCCGCAAAACGATGCTTCAAACCTCGAATGCGAGTGCAATTTGTCAGCATGAAAAGTTGAGTTAAATCTACTCAACTGTGTCAACGGAGGTCGGCAATGATTCACAAGCCTAACTCAAGGTCAACAGACATTCGGGGCGACGTCAATGAGACCTGCTCAATCAAACCAATATCAAACAGGAAAAGGTCCTATTGCAATCCTTCAGAACCCACATTCAAATGCAATTTGCAAGCCTGCAAACGGATTCCGCTATATCTACTCAACTGTGCCCATGGTAGTCAAAAAACTAGTCACTAACCTGACTCAAGGTCAACTGCCTACCTCTATTCTTTCATCACTAGCACTCCGCTTCCACTATTCTTTGCATCGCGTTGAATTAAAACTACCAAGTTTTGCTTATCAAGCCAATTAGTTTGAATGGATGTGCTAAGGGGCGCCGCAAAAGGTTATGGAGGAAATTTCGTGGGAAGAATGTGTGTCACATATACTTGACGCCAGAAGAACACACCTCAAACTGCTGCAATGGTAGGTCAGTCAGAAGAGAGGCACATTGCGTAAGTGTTACGTGATTTATGAGCTGCCTGAAAAGTTACCTGTTTGGTCTCGCAACTATTCGGCAAAAGTATTCGCACTAATTATGCCTTGTTGCCAGTCACAACGATTTCAAAACTGCAAAAACCAACAGTGAGTCCAGTCCACGGAGATGTCAAAGGGGTTTCAAGGTTCCAACTACTATTCACGCTTTCAACATCAACAATAAGGTGCATTTGAGACGCACACAAAAAAACTCGATGCATACCGTTGTTTAGAGAGAGCTCTTCAATTGGTGAGTGACCAGATTCCACAAATCAAGGCATGATTAAAGTCAGGATGAATAATATTTCCAGCACCACTGGTACCATTCCATCGGGAACATTTACGTCGTCATTAGGACAAGAAGAGCTCAATCACATGACTACAATATGGCTTTAAAAGACTCGGTGATACAAGAGACAACTAAGCAACTCATACTACGAAGAAATACACCCTTCCAACATACCACGTAAAGTGATGCAATGGAAGAAGGGGAGACAAATTAAGGCTCTGCTAGTCTACACGTCGGAAACTTGATCAGCACTTTTCAATGGATAAAACATATTCTTGCACGGGAAAAGCAATCCATATAAAGTGAGCAGATTTCCATGAATGACCCAAAACGTGAGTTAATAAGACAAACAGACTAAACGCATCCGCGAGTCATTGACAGCCCACCTTCTAGGGGATGCCAATCTTCTCAAGGAAGAGGTCGTGCAATTGTTGTCTGACGACGTAGAGACTGACGTAACGCTCCGTGACTATGCAACCCTAGGCACGACGAACCCAGTGCCGACGCAGCTCATCGCCGGAGATGGACTCCTTCACATTTCTACCTTGAGGATGACTGTTACGAGTGAAGAGCTGTCGTCAAACAAATGCACTTATTTATATTTGGTACAAGGTTGGATAAACTAATCAACTGAACGCTCCAAAAATAATAATCTAAGCAGCAAGAAATGTAGTAGGTCTTTGGGAGGGGAATTGGAAATATGGAAGACGAGAAGTGAGGGGAAGCTAACCTGTAATAAGAGTCGGAACTCCCTACGAGGTCGACCACGTAAAGGACGGTGGAGAGCGCACGACCGTGAGCGTAGGGAGAAACGTCGGTGCGGTCGCTGAGGCCCATTACAACATCCACCTTGGCACTGTCCCTACTGCCGAACCGAAAATCGAAGAGCGGTGGATGAGTAATAAAATCATGAAGGACCTAGCTTAACCATGTGAATAATTCTACCCGTACCTAAAACACGGCGAAAATAGATGAAATTGGTTCAATTTCCTCATCAGACACGAGTCGTGGAGAAGAGTAAGGAATTTAGTCGCTTAAATATCCAACAATTTCTACCTGAGTCAGTAACGCTAGGCTATGAGGAATTCCAAAAAAACTGTAGTTAGAATGTTACTCCTTAACACATATGCTACTCAGAATATTTTACAAGGGCTGATATTCCCCCCGATCACTAATTAGCACCCCTGCAATTAGTAAACATAACGGCATAGTGACGAGTGCATTGGCTATGATGACAGATAAAAAGTGAGTTATCTCACTCATTCTCACATTCAAGTCATGTTTTCTGCAAAATTCTCCATGCAGTTATGCGTGGTGATAAGCGGACTTGAGGAACCGCAGTGAGCAAGCAGCGAAAAGCAACAGAGTATGCGGAAACAAAGTGACACTTGCGTAATAGACCTAAAAACAATGCATTGTACAGCAATTCTGCCATTTTGAAATCACTACGACCTGGCTAGAATGTCTACGA